TGGCCTTCAGGTGACTGCAACACAATTAGCTTTGGCTTCAAAATACAACCCAGCATGCTGATTTCTAGCATTCCCTTGCAGGATCTGTATAAATGCCAGTATAATCAACAGGAACTGTTCTATTACACTGTAACATAATGGTTCACTCTAATGTTAATTAGATAATTCACCGGTATGTTAGCTGTTCATGAATCTTTACAAGAACAGACACAGCCCTGAAATATGATCAGTGACAGCTTATCTCCCATAGCTCCAGTTCTCTGCATACTATGAGGTCTATGAATGGAGAATAATGTCTGTGTCAGCCTCACAGTCTCTGCTCAAGTATCCAGTCCACAGTTTGACCAGAGGGATGTAGGAGGGAGGAACACCTGGCCAGCCCCTCTATAACAAGCTGTCATAGAACCTAATGAGCTCCCTGATTATCTTCCCTAGGGAGTATGTAAAACATACGTACTCTGTAAAACAACCATTTCTATTTTTACCCCTGTGGACAAAAGCCACTTGATTTATAAATCTAAAGCTAAACTAGGTAATTGTCCTTGATGCAGGTCAGACATGCACAGGATACCCCGGAGTTTGATTTGGATATTTTAACCTACTGACACATGAAACACAACCTTTTGGATGAAAATCTCCTGTGTCTCAGATTCCCGGCTGCACTGCCCATCTCCATTGAGGATGGATGACCACTTGTCAATTATGCTAATGATATATACCAGTTGAGATGTCTGCGCTGACAAGGGGCTCCTACAGTGACCTCATAGCATGTGAGTAGCGGGAGGTGTGCTTTTTTTTACCTGCACCGCCACATCAGCGGCAATCAACCTCAAAGTTCTCTGCAGCCCGCCCACATTTCTGGTCTGATGTGAGGGTGATTAGTACTGACAAACCGAGGGAAACTGTAATACGTGGCATAAGCCAGGCTGTGTTTGTTTAGCCTCTGTACAGAGCTCAGGGGAAACAAGCAGGTTTTGCCGAATGATGGGTGGCATGTACTGTAAACTGACTGCTTCCCTCCGGCTCTAGTCAGTGTGTTTGTGTGTTCATGGCTCAAGTATATTGACAGGCTGGGACTGTTTACTCTGCTGCAATATTGAGGGTGTTTCTCCATCTTTGAGATGGATGAGGATGATTCCCCACATTTTCAGATGTGACGGTCAGTTCTCTAAACTTAAATTAAACCTTGCGGCCATAGCAACAGATTCCCTATACGCACACTAGGAAGTCTCCACAGCAATGCATGGGTTTAGAAGAATAGCTAAACAGGGAAGGGAGTGTCCAGACACAGAGGTGTGAGCCGTGGCAGGGGGACCTGGCTGGATCTGTTTCACTATGTCATCATGTGAAAGAACCCCCCCTACCAACTCCTCTCGCCTTACAGCCTCCCTCAATGGGTGAGGGACATTTCTCACCACGATCTGGTTAGCCCCATTACAAAGACCCCGTGGCCAGCAGCAATCTAACATACACATAAGCACATTCACGCAAAGGACTACACCAGCATCCATCACAATGATAAATGTAAGGGAAACTAGAAATGACAAGCTGTCTCAGGTGGACTGATTCGGAGCAATTTGTATAATCTGGTCCGGAGGTGTTGACATAGAACACTCAGAGGTTGTTTCTCATTGCCGTGTTTGTATAACATTTCTCTGAGATACTCACTGTCTTGACTCATAGATTCACACACTTTCGTTCCTGTAGAGCACGACAGAAATCAATCTATTGTTTGACTCTCCAGTTTAGTTTACAGACCAGAATCTAAACTTTAGCTGAGCTGTTTGTTTCCACACTGGAGTCAAAACCTTCATGATGGTGCCAATAATTGGAAATGACACTCAGCTTAAGCTGCCTCACACATTTATTTTTCCTTTACAACATTCCCTGTTCTCTTTTCACTCAGATGACACAGCCAGGTCAGTAATGTTTGTCTCAAGAGAGCAGCGAAGAAGGGAGGGGGTTTGCATATTTTCGACAGCCAGCGTCCAGGATGTATGCCTTCCTAGGACGAAGGCCATAAGCAACACACACACACACACATACACATACACACACACACACACACACACACACACACACACACACACACACACACACACACACACACACACACACACACACACACACACACACCGTGCACTCTGAGGAGAAACCTAATGCGGCTCCCACCAGGGAGGGCCAGACCAGTTTATGAATATTGATAGAGTCTGGTTGCTGAGGACTGGGTCAGCAGTAGGCCTGCAATATTTAGTCTTCCAAACTGTCTGAAAGTGTTTAACACATCTCACTACAAAGATGGTGTGAAGCAGCCGTCACCCACTGCTGCCAAACAGACACTTAGCTCAAGTGTTGTTGGTGCCCACTGGCAGAGGTTTGGCACTTGCCTGAGCCAGCTTCAATGCAAGTGGAATTCTCTTTTGTTAGCTTGGCTATGGCATCAGTTATGAATACATCTTAGCCAGTACATCCCACTGTTTTATCCCCATTAGCGAACACTATAATAATGCACTGGATGCAAACTAGCGATATAATGCTAGTAAATCCTTACAGGCTGCGCAAATAACCCAACAGAATTAACGTTGGCTTCCTTCGACACAAGAATATTGGTACAAGGTTTCAAGGTTTTTTATTTGTCGTACGAACATAGCTACAGTGTAGTTATGACAATGAAAATCTTAGGTCACAGGCTCACTCCAACAGTGCAACACAATAAAACCGATAAACAGAAAAATATAGTGCACGTAAATAGTAAATAAAAAAAAGTGAAATAGTGCAATAAGAGTCTATATGCAAGCTATTGGAATATGATATATTAGATAAATAATTTCTAAGTAGCTAGTAGTTGTGGATGTTGTTTCAAAGTTCAGGTGTTTAACAGTCTTTACAGTACATGCATTGAATATAGGAAAAAACAGCACAAATAACACAACCGCTGCTGCCCGCAACTTTCATTGAGGTGAGAAGTGTCCAGCATTTCACACCCAACTTTTTAAACATTATCTATCTGGGTACTTCTCTTGCACTGCATCTTGCAATACTTCACATTGGGACGCTTTAACGCGCTTAAAAAAACACAAATTGAGACATAGCACAAGTATGCTGCACGCTTGGCTAGATCGCTTCTCGCGAGGAAAACATCAGACACACATAGAAATGCACACTCATGCTCCCTCTCTCCCTCACACTCGCAGACATACAGCCGTGTAATTTGACATAGGGCTCCTGTCAGACATGCAGTGTGCTTATTACACACACTTCAGAGCTCAAGGCAAGTAATGGAATTTAAAGATATCATTTTGTTAAGCCTTCTGACTGAGAATCAAAGAAAGCATACAGTATATCCAACAAACGCTGTTTAACTTTCTGAAGCCATAATATTTATTCTTTGCTCATATCTGATTCACGCTTTCTGATTCATACTTTCTAGACCGTGTCCTTGAAATTTCCATTAGATTGGGATTTACTTTTTTTTAGCATCTGGCCGCAGAACAAGCAAGCCCCCTGCTCAATGTTGCTATGTTCTGTCTGTTTCTAAACTCGTGGTGTTATTGATCTTGGCCTACTGCTCAAACCCAATTCCTCTGGCCTGGCCCAGTGGACAGCGCAGCACTACTTGGTCAGATCCTGAGGTTTACTCTGAGCCATGAATGGATCTCTATGTTGTTCTCATAGGTTCTAACCATTCCATCAGCATCTGGGTTTTGAGGCGCCCCTCTTGTCTGACTCCCTTAATTTGAGTTTATTTGATTAGGTCGTCCTCTAATACTATCATTAATGTTGGACCAATTTAGGCCAGAAACACACACGTGCTAACACACTGGAACATTGATGGGGACATGAAACATATCGTATCGTTCATACCATGCAGTTCACACACTTTTCTGGCAGCTATTCAGACGGAATGGGATTTGGCCATTTTAGGTTGAGTTGAAATTTGACACAAATGAACATGTGGCCTCCTCTTATGCCATTCCTATTGCTGTGTGTGTGTGTGTGTGTGTGTGTGTGTGTGTGTGTGTGTGTGTGTGTGTGTGTGTGTGTGTGTGTGTGTGTGTGTGTGTGTGTGTGTGTGTGTGTGTGTGGTGGTGTGTGTGTGTGTGTGTGTGTTGGTGTGTGTGTAGTAGTGTGTGTTGTGGTGTGTGTGTGTGTGTGTGTGTGTGTGTGTGTGTGTGTGTGTGTGTGTGGTGTGTGTGTGTGTGTGTGTGTGTGTGTGGTGTGTGTGTGTGTGTGTGTGTGTGTGTGTGTGTGTGTGTGTGTGTGTGTGTGTGTGTGTGTGTGTGTGTTGTGTGCTGTAGAAGGGAAGACCAAACATATGTCAGCTGGTGCAGTGTGTGTGTGACAGAGGGGCCTCAGAGATGTAAGCTGGACGTGCGGCATGATGCTCCTCTGCTGTTCAGTAATAGAGGTTAAATAAACTCTCCGGGACAAGAGTTGGCTTGCTGTGACATCGCTCAACTGTTGGAGGAGATTTCCTGGCACCGAGCTAGAGTTTCAAGGTGGCCTTGTTGATTTTTTTTTCACTGGATTTGATTCTATCATCATGAAATAAAACACTAGTGGGAGGAACATTTCAAATGTAGAAGTGGGTCTATTGAAGAGCAAGGGAGAGATCATAGGAGAGTGTAATGGGGTTTTCTAATACGCTCTCTTTGCCCCATTTCATCCAGATGTTTTTACACCCGCATCTCATCCCCTGTCTTTCCACACGCCTTATATATTAGCTCACATGCCTGTTATCAGGGGAGGATGCCCATTGTGTGTCCAGATGAGTAATGGTCTGATGGGGAGAGAAGAAATGTGTCATGGTGAAAGAATGTAGACTTCAGACCTCTCCTGATGGTGATATTTCTTTCTTCTCCTAACAACATCCGACCATGGAGAATGTGCATACGTGTCTAAGTGACGCGCAGTGTGCTAGCCACTCCACATTATTATGCTTGTAGGATGTAAGGTGTGGTGGGAGGTAAATGATCGGTATGTGTTCCCTTTTCTTGCAGCTGAGATATCAACATGGTTTGACAACCCCCGACCTGCAGCAGACACTACCCAACCTGAAGAACTTTCTGGAGCACGGTCTGCTGGTGCGATGGTAAGGATCAGAAACCTAACCCACTACTTTAACCCTAGGTTAGAGGTGTAAACGGCAACTTCAGCCGAAAAGATCATGTTAACAGGGATGTGCTTCAATTGAAGACAACAATAGGAATGTTTTTCATACAATCAACGTTTTTTGATACACATTACCTTCATCAAAACAGAACTAATTCTAATTGACCACATTAACAGACAGCATATAAGCACTTGCATCAAACCATCACACAAACCCACAACATATATTACTCACATAAACTGAAAGACAAAAATAACAATGCATAAACAACACAATGAGTGGCTAATACGTCAGATATAATTGCATTATATCTAAAGTATATAAAACGATAAGATAAAATGTACATTCCTGATATCATTCCTTTCCTAATTAGATATATGTTCAATACACTTCTTTGGAAACGTGACTATACTTGTCCTATTGTGTTGAATGTTAAATAGCGCTTTGCCCATCTATGTTCCCTGTGTCGTCAGAAGTCATTTGGGTTAGGTACTAGCCTAAGGACACAATACATTTCATGACATTACATTTAATTTGGCTGACGCTTTTATCCAAAGCGACTTACAGTAAGTGCAAAAACCATAGAGAATCAAACTCCGAACAACAAGGAAAGTGCAAATATATTCACTTCAAGCAAGTCATACCATTGTAAGTACTGGTGAATTAGTAACGAGGCCTAAATGAACTTTTAAGCGCTTTTTTTCCCTTTTAAAGAATTGAATTGCCAAGGTACAATTGAAACAGATACGTTTTCAGTTACCATGTTGATGAAGATAAGACCACTGACCTTCTGATTGGTGGACGAGTGCTCTACTTCCCGAGTCACAGACACATGCTGACACATTTTGAAGATGTGAAGCAGTTCAGACAAGCCGTGGTTGAAATGTAGTCCAAGGAGAAAAGAGTCCACATCTTGAATCCTTTTCTGTTATAAACTGAAACATTAAATAGTTCCATTAAAGCTCAACATAAAACCTACATATATCTACCGTGCCTATCACTCACATCCTGAGACACTGTCAGGTTCTTGGAAGCATTGGGAAGGATTTCTCTTGGCTTTTATCATCAGTCCGCCTGACAGTCAGCGTCAGGATTAACTCTCGGTCACTTGAGGGACGATTCTGTCCCCAGATGTTCCTGCAGTAACGGTGTTGGGAGACGCACTCCATTCAACTTCACACGAGCCGTTAGAACCTCCTGTATCTTTGATTAACAAGCAACCCATAATACAACACTCAATGTAGGGTCCGGTGTTATATTATGTACAGTATAAATTGTTATAAGTGCAAATATATGGGTTATCCATGACTGCGTGAAGTTCCCTTTTTGTCTGTGTTTAATGAAAACATTCTTGGCAAACGCTGCCACTGCAAACGATTCAGCGTATTCAGACCTCGAATAATGCAAATAAACAAGTCCATTTTCATTTTTTCAAAAATTCAAGCAGGTTGGTTTGTTTGATTGCTTTGAAAAACCATCTTTATCTTGATGATGCATGAGGTTTGCAATGTGGTTCAGTTGAGGCAATTGTCATCACAATACCTGGGTTAAAGTGTTCTCAAACAGGCTCCTCGGTGCAGGTCTAAAGTCGTGCAAAGCTAGCAAAAAATAGAGCTAAGCCAGGCTAAGGTTTGTGGAAGACTCAGTGTGCGAAAAAGCAGACGTCCCACCGTCCGGGACGTGTTATTTACGATATCGGACAAGTATATCTTTCAATTGACTTGTCTGGCGGACATTATTGATAAATTCAGTTTACAAAAGGCAGAACTCATTCGCAAATTGTCCGTGTCCGCCATTGTTCGTTTAGAAATGTTAGTTTCGGTTCTGCTTGTGGATTCCTAAGGAAATGCATCTCACCGCTTTCTGTACTTTATTATTTGTTATTTATTTTTTATTTCTATTCCTTATTCTATTTTATCATGTTTTATCAAACCCCTGTAAAGCGTCTTTGAGCACCTGGAAAAGCGCTTTGAAATAAAATGTATTATTACTGTTAGACGGGGGCGGGGCAGAGCAGGACCATCAGGGGCGGCGGGTACTGTAGGCTAAGGAAGGCTAAGCCTTCCCAAATATTTGTGTCACTGCATCCTGGTAAAATAAAAATATAATGTTTATGTCTTTGACATTAGCGCTGCTATGCAGCCGCCTACGAAGCCAGTTCAACAGACCCTGGATATGTTTGAGTTATCTTAACTAACCCTAACAAACGAGATCTCGCTATGCAGTCCTACGACGCTGGTTATCAACTCGGTAAATCAAGCCAGGGTTTCTCTCCAGCTGAGAACGCGTTCAAGGGGCGGGGCTAGCAATATTTGACCAATCACAAACATGGACAAGCGTACTGACAGCCAGCGTCATACTTCATTAATGAAAATGAAACTATAATATTAGACAAATATGAAGAAGTTAAACTTTAAACATCCATGACTTAAACACTTTATCCAGGATAAAAGCAACATAGTTGCACCTGCAAGGTGAATACAGAACAGCTGGTTAAAAAAAAAAACTACGGAGTGTTTGAATGCATAGGCCTACATTAACAGATTTATGATATCACTGCCTCATCTAAGGCACGAGTGATCTGACTTAATAATTAAATAACATAATTACATTTGAGTTGAGTGTTTCGTCAACTTAACGTGTTGCTTAAAATAATGCTTCTGCATACAGTATGTGACACTGAGTGATGCACGGCCAGATACGGCTGGAGAAGCTGACTCAGATAAGGAAATATATGATATAATATGATATTATATGATCGATGATGTGATATGTCGGCGTCTCCCTTGCATACGGCAGTTGTTCTGTTTCCTTTCTCCTGTAATATGACTTGATAGATTTAAACTCCGCACACTGAGCTCTGATTGGTCAGCAGGCGGTGCTTTCACGATAAAAGTTATTTAGCCTTCCCAAACCTGAGCCTCACGCGCCGCCTTTGGATACCATGGATGTATAATAAGAACGACGTGTAGCACAGCGGCAGGGTTGGGAAGCAAAACTCGGTTCCGAGTAAGAACAAATAACAATTGTCCAGTCCCGGGATTAATAAGAGTTGTGAGGAGGCGAGGCCGAGCCCCGCGGCTCTCTCTCTCTCTCTCTCTCTCTCTCTCTCTCTCGTTTTTTTTTTTTACAAGGAATACAGATTCATTTCATTCATATAATACATTAATACAAAATAGAATATGATATATATATACATAAGATGTGAGACCTGGTGTATCTGCTCAGTCCGGTTCCCTCAGACTGTGGCAGGCAGAGACAAACTGTGCTGCCACAATGCAGCTCTCTTTATATTCCCCCAGAAGTGTTTTTAGTTTTCATTTTCATTTTTAAATATTTGAGGATGCTTATGTTTGAGTTTTGGGAAGAATTGTTTCCGTACATGTTCAAAAGTTGGGCATTGTGTGAGGAAGTTCTGCTCTGTCTCCACAGCAGTTCCTCTACACTGTTGGCATGATCGCTCCTCTTTTGGCAGCCATGTTTTCTTGTACCTGCCTGTTTCTATGGCCAGGCTCCTCTCTCTCTCTCTCTCTCTCTCTCGCTCTCGCTCTCTCTCTCGCTCTCTCTCTCTCTCGCTCTCTCTCTCTCTCGCTCTCTCGCTCTCTCTCTCAGGCTGTGAGCACTCAGTCTGTACTTTGTCAACATCTTCCTGTGTTTAACATCAGTCACTGTGCTCAGGTAGGCTGCCACAGTGTACTGTCTTTTTATGGCCAGATAGCATTGCATTTTACTTTGTGTTTGGAAATGAAGGTGGTTCTCTTGTTGTCCGATCTTGATGCTGCACATGTTGTTTGTGTACATAGATTTGATTAGGTCAAATGTTTTTCCCCCATTACCGCTTTGAAGTAGTTTGTTGAATAGACCAACGTGCCAAATCGAGTAAAATGCTTTTTGGAAATCGATGAAACAGGCAAATATTTAGCTTTTATTTTCATTAACATATTTGTCCACTATGGTGTGTAGGGTGTAAATGTGGTCTGATGTGCGGTGATTTGGTAAGAATCCAATTTGGCTTTTGCTCAGGACATTGTGTTTCATAAGGAAGTCTATAAGCCGGGAATTTATAATACTACAGAAGACCTTCCCCAGGTTACTGTTCACACAAATGTCTCTGTAGTTATTAGGGTCAGATTTATCGCCGTTTTTAAAAATGGGTGTTATGAGACCACGATTCCAGCTGTCAGGGAAATAACCTACAATCAGGATCAAATTGAATAGTTTGAGTATAGCCAATCTGATCTTTTGACTTGAGTGTTTTAGCATCTCGTTCAATATGCCGTCAAGCCCACTTGCTTTTTTTGGTTTTAGGTTAATCAACTTTTTGTCCAGTTCCTGTTCAGTCATTAGAAAGTCCAAAGGGTTCTGGGAGTCCTTGATGACCAATTCTAATTTGTTGAGCTTTTCAGTTATTTGTGTTTGTTCTGAGTCAGAGTTGAGAGGAATGTTACCATACAGATGTTTGAAGTGATCGGTCCAGATGTCTCCATTCTGTATAACTGGGTCATCGTGTTTACTTTTATTTAGATTTTTCCAATTTTCCCAGAATCTGTTTGTGTTTAAAGACTCCTCGATTATTGTTAGTTGTTTTTGTGTGTACTGAGCCTTCTTGGTTTTGATTGTACGTTTGTATTGTTTGAGCATGTCGCAGTAAAGGAGGCGTACGTCTGCGTTGTCTGTCTGGAGCCCATTTGTATTTTCTTTTAATGTTAAACAGGTTATTGGGTTCAGATTGTGGATTGTTAGTTTCTGTTCTTTTCATGAACACAGTAATTTGGCTGTGATCAGATAAAGGTGTTAGAGGTTTGACTATAAATGAACTGAGAGAGAGCGGGTCCAGATCAGTTATCATGTAATCTACGGTACTCGTGCCAAGAGATGAGCAGAAGGTGGGTCTTCCCAAAGAGTCACCTCTAAACCTACCGTTAACAATGTACAGACCGAGGCTTTGACAGAGTTGGAGCAGGTCTTTCCCATTCTTG